CAGGTACTCCCTATGTATTAAATAGCAGGGCGCTGCAGGTACTCCCTATGTATTAAATAGCAGGGCGCTGCAGGTACTCCCTATGTATTAAAAAGCAGGACGCTGCAGGTACTCCCTATGTATTAAATAGCAGGGTGCCGCGCAAAATGGGCCAAATCGTCACCCGGAATGCTGTGAGTGTCAGTGCCAGTAGCCGCCTTGCCAGTTTTATGCACCATCCCTGTTTCAAAGCTCCCTACCCAATCAGACATGCTTCTCTGTATAAAGCTCAGCTAACTTTTCCCATAGACACTGGCAACCCATTGTACCAGTAATACAATCTCTCTTGCTCCTCTTTGAAGAGGAATATTGCTGTTACTCTGCTTCTTGAACATATTTACACTTTTGCAATTATTGATGAATCAAGGGGCTCAGCTTGGCCTTCGGAGCCCAGCGTGGCGTCTCTGTGCGTACACGTACGCCGGGGGCCCTGGCAGGTGCAAGCGTGTGCTCGTCTGAGAGGGAGGGTAACATTGACAGGCTGGGGGTGCCACTTCCTTTTTTATGAGGCTTTTGAACTCGTGTCAGCATTCTTCCTGATCAAGGCCGGCAAACAGGCTGGTCCTGCTTTGACAGATAACTTTCAGATTTTAGTAGCTAAAGGTCCCAAGGAAGGGAAAGGAAAAAACGCTTTATTTACTCATTCTTCAGGCAGTTTGGCTTTTGGCTTTAAGTATTAAATATATACAACCGTTTTGTTTAATCTTGTGTTTGCCACTTATTCTTAAACCAGTTATGTTTGAAAGATATAAATAAGCAAATGCTGGTCATGGTTTGAAGGCAGACTGAATTCCTGCAGCTGACAGTTCACTAATGAAGATCCACAGTGTGAGCGACAGGAGAGGGGCCTACATGGTGTGAGAGGAGAAGCCACGAGGCTCCGCACCTGACAGAAGGAGGCGTGGCCCCCAGCGCTCCCCCTGAGCGGCTTGGCTAATCGCCGCCGCCTCGCCCTGTTTGAAGCGTGCAGGAACAAACGAGGCCTGGTACTGCACCGAGAGGCTGAGCCGTGCCATCGGACACAGTGCTCACTGGAGATTTCTTGGGCCCTGTGCCGGTGGCGATCTTTCGGAATCAGGCCTGCTTACTGCCACAGGAACCCCCACTGCAGCCTCAAGTGTTGGTTGTAAACTTTCTCCCCAGTCTGAAGTGATCATCTCTGCTGGGGTGCCTCACTGTCAGTTAAACAGGTTTAACTCCAGATGAAATTCTGGCAGAAACATTTACCAGTGAAGCACTAATCGCGGCACCCTCTCTCTAGTACTACAATGACTTTGGGGACATCATAAAGGAGACATTGAGTCGGACCAGGCAAATGGACAAAATGGAGAGTGCGAGGACTCTGGTCCTGTGCCTGCAGCAGGTAGGTGAGAGCCTCCCCTTCCTCTGGCTCGGGACGCCTCGTGGAGTCATTAGCTTGATTAGCACAGCTCCTCTTAGCTTTGAATCACTTGGATTTGTTGCCTGTTTTCCCCATTTTGCTACCCTAAGTGCTAAGCTGGGTACTGGGCATGGGGGAATTACGGCTGGATCTCAGCCCGGCTTACGGTTTTACCCCAATTCCCCTTTGCTGCAGCTCTTCCTGCGTCTGAAGCAGGAGCAGCAAAGCAGCAGTGGCTCCGGGTTTCAGAGCTTCAGTAGCATCAAGGAGCTGGCCAGGCGCTTCTCGCTCACCTTTGGCTGGGATCAGATCAAATCCCGGGAGTCTCTCACCATGATTCACAGGTACAGGATGAGACCGAGACCGCGACTGCGATTCAGGCTCTGTGCTCGTGTGGCTGAGACACTGAGTGGACCTGTCCCTGAACAGGGATGGCATCGAGTTTGTATGCCAGGGCTTCGTCCAGCAGGCAGAGAGACAGGCCCCTCCTAACATCTCCTACCTCACCATCCTGAGTGAGTTCTCCAGCAAGCTTCTGAAGCCAGACAAGAAGACAGTGTAAGTGCCTCTTCCATCCTGCAGGGAGCCTGTGTGTGGTCTGCTGTCCTGACACTGTCAAAGTTGGCAAGATCTGAAATGATCAAATTTTGAGACCAGTCACAGCAAAACTGAAGCAGCACCGTGTAGTGACAGCAGAGGAAAAGGAGCCTCAGACACTTGATCTTATCAGTCTGATAACTCAAAGTATTTGACAGGTCTTTTTCAGACTTTCCTGCCACTAAGAAGTGTTGCTTCTGTCTCAAAATTCCAGATCTTCACCCATACAATGTGTCTGTAAAGGGAAGGGTAACTGCAGAAGGCAGGACTTTATGAACTCAAAAAGAATATGGATGAAGATATGCACCTGATTTAATTTACAGACAAATCACACCAAAATCGCACCATTTATCGACAAATGGCACCTGCAGTGTCAGGTGGCGGCAGAGGAAGGATAGGGCCACTGCACAGGGGATGATCCAGGAGCTGTTTCATCTTGAAACATCACACCAAAATGGGAGCGGTGTCACTGACTGTCGGCACATGAAAGGAGGTGCAGCTCCAGGGCTTCCATGTGAACTTCTCCAATGGGAGCACTGGTCTCACCAGCACATTTGTTACATCCCAGACACACGGAGATGTAACATATTATTAAGAATGCAAAATTAGTGACACCGAAAAGATTAGTTACTGTGAGAAACGTGAGATTCCACGGTCACAGAGACAGCTCACACATGGCTGGTCGCGGAGACAAAGATGCACAGTGTATCTTAGGCAAGACTATATTAGTAAGGATACAGTATGCACAGATATAATGTATTACTAATGTTTATGTAATGTGCAATCTAATGTGATACAAATCATTTTCACTATTGTCTTTGCCGTCACCTGTGAGTTTCACTCACACTTGCACAGAAGCGACCACGTGAAATTTTAATTCGCGCGTGCTCAATAAATGGTCACACCATTTCGGTCACAGTATGGAGCCTTGAGATCTGGTAACCCTAATAAGACTGAGACAAATTGCACAAAGTTGAGCTTTAAATAATGATTTTTGGAGAGGTGGAGAGTATGTGATGGGGGCTAGAGATTGCGGAGGTTGGGGGTTTGGGAGGAGTGGGGTGGGGGGAGTGTCTGTTCGTGGAATACATTGTCCTTCGGAGAATATCCAGTCTAGTGAATGAATTTGTTTTGTCACCTAAATAAAAAAGCCGGTATGGGTTTCAGCTGTACTGTTCTGTAGGGAGAGGGACCTGCGTTTCTGAGGATGCATTTAGCCACCAGAGAACGACGCTGGTATCACCACAAACGTTAAGGCAAAAGGTGCGGTTTGTCCCACAGATACAGCTACCTGCAGAAGTGCGTTGGGGAGGCCGTCAGCAGCAAGGACGACTGCTGGCTGCCCCTGGCCTACTACAGGGCCTCTCTGATGGCCACGGCCGAGGGGGTGGAGGACGCCGGCTCCCACGTCAGCTCGGACACCTCCAGGCAGGCCTCCTCGGCCCAGTGCTCCCGCTCCTCCTCGCTGAAGCAGGCTCCCGTTGTGGGTACGGTGCCGTTCGCGTGCTGTGAGTAAGCAGTTGTATGTAACCTGAAGATCCAGTCCCAGAATGGACCTACAGCGATTTTTTTAACCTTTTCGGTATGTGATTTATATTAGCTTTAATTAGGCAGCTACGAACAGTAGCCTTGTTTATGCTGTGGGGATTGTAATGATGATTTATACCTAGACAAGCAGTGTTTACAGGTACTTGGCATAGTCACACCCACCTGTGGTTCTGATTGACAGGAGAGGTGCAGGGCAACAAGACTGCAGAGCTGAAGAGCTCACCTGTGTTCACCTGGGCAGAATGGAAGGGGAGAAAGGCCCTGAAGTTCACCGCAAGGTAAAGCAGCGTGTCGCTGCAGGCGAGGACGCGGCGAGAGGCTTGCTCCAGATGGGTGGTGCTGATGTGAGTGTTCTGATATCGCCACACAGCGCTGACATGGCGGAGCAGGAGTCAGAGAGACTGCTGGGCGCCCCTGACGACGAGGTGAATGTGGATTCGGAGGTCGACCCCTGACTTGCCTGGTGTGTGCAATGAGGGCGTGTCACATACCTGAATGTTTGGGTGGAGGCTACTGGAATCGAGTGCTGCATTCCCATTATGGGGCTGAAGCAGGTAGTGGGCGTTAGTCACCCTGATGAAACAAATATTGCAAGGGTCACGCTTTAACTGTAGTAATCGTGCAGTAAGGAGCTGCACTGCTAGATCTGCCAGGGGGGAGAGTGGCACCCAGTTAATGACTAATACTGTATATACATATACTGTATCTGTGTCGGGATGAGGGAAGTTCCAGCACTCAGGAATTAAATGTTTAATTTTGGCAATTCTTTACTGTATTCTGTCTGCTATAGCTGCAGGGTGTTTAAAAGGATGGTCTAGTTTTGGTACTGTGCCTCAGAATGAACATGAATGATTGTATGTTAGTGATATAGTGCTTTCCAAGACACGCTTTACAGAACCAATGAGGGACCACCAGCACTGTGTAGCCCCCACCTGGATGATGTGACGGCAGCCATCCTGCACCAGTACGCTCACCACACAGTAGCTAAGGGGCAGATTTGAAAGGGCCACACAGGGGTGCCACAGTGGGCAGTTTCAGCCAGAGCACCGGAGTACCCACCCCATACTCTTTCGAAAGGTGCCCAGGGGTCTTTTATGACCTCAGAGAGACCTGTTGGCCACAGTGTCCCATCACTGGGTCCCACACAGGTTAGTCTATCCTGTGGTCGACCCATCACTAAGCAGGTTTGGGCCTGGCCAGTACTTGGATGGGAGACCAACTAGGCTGGTCTGACCTGCAGGTGCTGTGGCTGCTGATCAGAAACTAAAGTGGTGTTTAGTGAATTAGAAAGTGTCAGCTTGCTCACCAGCTGAACCTGAGGCTGGCACTATTGAAGGTAGTCGCCTTTCATATGGCAATAGCTTGTTACGGAAATCAGCCCAGACCTTGAAGTGATGTTATTTACGAAAGGTTGATAATGGACCCCTTTACTGGTGCTCCACACTCCAAAGCACTGATCCCGATGTCTGTGTTGTAGCCGTGACTGCAAAACTCATTCCTTGTCCAGCTGGATCTTGTCCCCGTGTCACCGTCGCTGGATAGTCGCTAAGGGCCGGCAATGCTGCCACTGCATATGGACACGTGATCATGTTGTGCTCGGAATGTGATTTACAGATCCAAATTGGGGAAATTAATTCTGTTTGAGAACATCACATATAATTTTGGAAAAGGCGTAAGATGCCAATGTATTTTGCTTCCTCCTGTTACAGTCCCATGATTTACTGTATATAGTTTTGTCTGTTTAAAACTAATTTTCCTCAATTTTGGCAGGGAAATTTTTTTTATACCCTTTCAGGTCTAGCACAAATCAACGGAAGTGGCAGAGTTGCCACAGTGATGGCGTTTAAGGACTGTTTCTTACTGCTGCCATCAGCCCACTTGCCTGTCTTGCTTACTTACTTTATTATTGTTGCAAGACTGAAATGCACATATGTGTGTGTGTGTGTGTATATGAAGAGGAAACCCAGGGTGGATGCACTTACACATCTGTAAGACTCCCTTTTATGCTTTGGCCACAATCTCAAAATGGGCATTTAGGTTTTTTTTTTTTTTTTTAAGTCAAATTGAGTTTGTGATGTGTTTTTATTGTGAAGCACACATCTGCAAAATAAACAATTTGCAGACTAACACTGCACTTCTATAATTAACTGTACATATCCAATAACTTACCCCTCCCCACAAACAAATCCAAAGTGCATTATTGCAAAGCACGCTTACCTAGAATTCCCTTAATGCACAGTGCCAGACACATCTTGGTTCCTACCTCTGGAATGTCATACTAGCTCATAATTGGTTAAGCACAGTTGAATTCAATGAGGTGACTCAAGCCCTATTCTACTCAATACGCCTCCAGTGTGGAACCATGCAAAAGCACACATTCTGTACACCCATGTGACTACAGCACAGCACCACATCAGCGGCTGGGTCTGGAGGTCTTTACTGTGGCCATGGAATTAGAGGGGACCATACCAGCACTACCTCTGCTGCTGCTGTTACATCCAGGCCTAGCATTTCCTGTTGTCATGGTTGCGTAGGTATCCTGCAGCATCACAGAGCTGTCATTTGCAGAGAGACAGCGGATCTGCGGTAACCCCTCACCCCCCACGCTGTCTGGCCCCCACAGGCCCCTCGCCGCAAAGCTCACTCAAAATCATCTTCGTACTCAAAGTCAATGTCACAGTGGGGACTGGGGATCCCAAACAGGTGCCTCTTTTCTGTCCACAGCCCCAGTTCACTGGCAATGTGATGCTCTGCTGGGTCAAAGTCATTTTCATACCTGGGGGGAGGGGGAAACCACATAGGGTTCAAACGATTGCCACAGATAACATTCTGCTGATTATCTCAACACTTGAACTGCTGTCCAACCTCAACATATTGAGAAGAGTTTCCACAGAAGCTTAGATCAGATGGAAGTACATGAGGCTGGACCACAAAGTGAGCAGCAGTGTGCCTTATGAAAACACCAGGAGTCAACGCGAGTCATCTGTCAGCTTTGAACTCCATACTACATGTCAGAAGATCCTAAAATCGCCATGACATCAGTCAGCAAGACCTGTCCCTCCTACTGGATGATTGCAGCAATATTACTGCTGACCAGTCAGACAATTACGCTCCAGAAGTGATCTGCTGACACTTGGACAATATTGCTTAACACTGAGCTAATGTTTACACATGTATGAAGCCAGAGAAAGGGCCAATGGAGAGACGCCTTACCCTTCATTATACTGCTCACTGGCTGTCTCCTCTGCCACCAGAATGTCATACTCCTCTGCGGCATACCTCTCCCAATCAGAGACGTCCTGGCCCTCCGTTTCGCTATCCTGGGAGGGGACAAGGACACTTGCTCATTAGGCTTTGCTCCTACTCTCAGGCTACACGAAGCAGTCTGATATAGATGATAATGTGCAACATTCCGCACCCTGGCGACTGACAGAGGATCTCTCTGCTCATGTTCCAAGTACTTCTCGACGTTGAAGAAAGTGTTGAAGAATATGCTGGACATCTTGCACCTCTTCAGGTCATGGAGCGTGATCTTGCCTATAGAAACATTTCACATTTATTTGAAATGAGTGGAAGCTGTATACCCGTCCACAACCACGTTTTCATCTGATTGTTAATATTTCTGACCAGGGTGACTGCATTGTTAAACCCATGGCACGCTACTGACACTGCAACACATTTTCCATGCATATAATTTAGGGTTAAAATGTGTGCTGCTGGGGCATCTGAACACACATCAGCTACCTTCAGATTCTGGCTTGACCAGGTCGAGCATCTGGCACAGACAGTCTTCAAAGGGCAGCGGCTCGATGGCCCTGGCATCCAGCCTCTGCCTCTGCTCCTCATAGAAATATTCCAGCTCGTACATCGACAGGACCCCGTCGCCATCCAGATCCATGCAGCGGAACCAGTACTCTATGCTGCAATGTCAGACAAAACCCAGGCTATAAAAAAACAGACATATTACACTCACTGGCCAGCCAAGTATTTCCAGACACACAAACATCTAAACACACCCCGATTTGCATAACAAATACACAGCCTCGCATGAAACAGATACTGTTATTAGTTAATACTCCAAGTGCCTGTGAACGTTGAGCCAGGTGACGGCCATCTTCCTACCTAGTGGGGGTTGTCTTGTCCTCTTCTGAAATGAGGAACCACACAAAGTCTGCATAGCTCATTCGCCCCTCCTTTCTTTCTTTCTTGTCCCTGAAGTAGGTGGACACAGATTCAGGGCCCAACTTCAGTGTGTTGGCACAATACTTGGCCTAAAACACAGCCTATTCCTAACTATGTATCTGAAAAATGTAATAATGGAGATGCAATTACCTGGTGACCGTCCCTGAGAAAATCCTTTTGATCATTTTTTGGGAGATTGCTGTTAGAGAGAAAGCAAACATGAAAACCCCTTCCAGTTATGACATGTGTAAAGCAGTGCTGCTGCAGTGATACTACAGTGAAGGACGTAGCCAAACCAGCCTTGATCGTTGTGTTGGGCCAGATCTCTCGGGTCTATGTGGAGGTCGTGGTCAGCGTCTATCTCCCAGAACTTGCAGTAGATGACATAAAAATGCTCGTAGGAGAAGTACTCTGTCAGCTGGTTGATGTCCTGTTCATCTTCCAGCAGGGCCACAATCTGTTGGAGAACATGGAAAGTGTCAGCGGCTGCAGGAAAACACAGGCAGGCTAAGTGTGTGAAAGAGGAGCCGTAGGCGTTTAAATATGTATGTGTATGTAAACACTCACAGCTCGACTTTCAAATAGGCTACCCTGGGTCATGTGATCATAACAGACAGCTTCTCTCCACTTAGATCATTTTAATGTGGTGTAATGCGCTGTGCAGATTACAAACAAGCCAGTCACGCAGCTTTGCTATATTAATAGTACAATCAAAACTGAAACAGGTGAGTGTGTGGGAGGCACAAACCTGTAGAAAACTGCTTTTTCTCAGTTCTGAACATGTGATTCTTCCAGTCCAAGATCTGTTGACATTATAGAATATGCGCTGAACCACCTGTGAACAGATATGAAAAAAATTCACACCCACTGTTTCCACACAATGGTTTTGGGAGGTAACCTCACCCCACAAAAAAAAATTAAAAACGTATAGGATGACAGGAAAACACTTAGAAGTCAGAACTCCATCACAATGATCAGTACATCATTCAAAAACCACTGAAAAGTACACAGACTTGCTTATAAACATGCCCCTACATCACTAGCTGGACTAGTTCTAATGTCTGGATCTATCATAGGTCTTGTTCTGCTTGAATCTGTGCCTCTGATTTACAAATTAGTGTGATATCGAGTTCCAGGTGGTCTTTCCCAGCCAGATATTTGAGGATTTCAATGTTTTAACCATCTACTGCAGGGCATGCTGGGAAAAGAGGAGCTAAAATAGGAAGGCGCTGCGTTGGCAAGCTCAGCTTTTTCTGCTCACTTACTGTGGTAATATAACGGGTGTGAAATTCAGACGCCTCCTTCAGAAATGCGAGACCCGTGTGCGAGTTCACCACATCCTGGAAAAAAAACAAGGTGAAAAAATTAAGCCCTGTTGTGCAGGAAGACAAATAAACCGCGCAGAATTAAATCAGCGGGGCAATGGACATCTGATAGATCGCAGTTTATGTGATAAATGTTAGTGACGGAGAGAAAGACCAAGGTGAGAAGCAGAGGCCCCCCAGCTCAGAGGATGCCGACCGCAGCCGCTGTCGGTACCTTATTCCCCATGCATTAATATGAGCGCCACCTGCTTATGTGGATCGCAGAATTTCCAATGTACGGTAGATATTCCAGCAATCAAAACCAAGCGTTTGGTTTTTCCCTCTTAAGTGAAATTTTGACGTGACTGCGTATAAGGCAATAAAATTATGGTGGTTTATTTTCTGAAGAATACAATGCTCCCTGACCCATCCCTTATAAGATTAAATAATAGAAAAACACATAAATCATTCTTCTTATGAATCCGGCAGGAAAAGTCAGATCTACTCCACTGCAATACTTATTTCATTTATCAAAATGGTCAAAGCAATTGGCAAACCCACACAATACAAATTAAACTGCGCATGCCAGGGCACATCTCCCGTGAAAACAGACTACAGCTCTTCTGGCTTGGCTGTCGACCACCAGCAGGAATACAAATGACACGTCTTGCGGAAAGTATCAGAATGAGAACCCGCTGTTTTAACCTCAACATGGAATACTAGGCTTCATATGACGCTCTCGACTTGTCACACGGCAGGGGACGCGCTCTCGTGCCGCCTGCTCTGACTGTCCATCTGAGGACGAGATGACACAGGAACTGGCCAAAAACAGCTGAAGCTTCGCGGCAGAGCTACATAGCAGGCTGATTTAGATATGAACGGACCCATCCAAGGTGCGGGCCGCGATGTGCGTTATATTACACTAAATGGGAAATGCTTGAGTTTAAAATGGAAACAGTAAGACCAGATAAGACACGAAAGGGATATACTCGACCCCAACTCATTACCTTCAAAAAATATTGAGAAGCATGGCCTATTTCTTAGAGCCTGAGCTGGCTCAATGCAACCCTCCGCCAAACCCCCCCTACCTGTAGGAAGGGAATAAAGTCCTCTTGTTCCAGATAATTACAGCCAGGCTTGGCCAAAAGGTGGACAAATTTGGATGCATCATCATGACAGGTCTGCAGGATTCTGGAAAGCAGGAACAGATGGTGTCAGGGTTTTCTTCCCACTGGAGGGAAAGTACAGACTCTGCAGCCATGCAGCCAGGCTGCTGGCGACCTTATGCATCGCAAAATTAGTATTCAGGAATCTAACCCAATCAATTCAGCCTTCCACACTGCAGAAATACTACAGCCATATACCATTTAATCAGCTCTTTGGAACCATACCCACATTCAGGACAACTGACTCTTGGTCTTTACTAGAACTTTAAACACATACATATTAATGGCACGCTAATATTGCCAGAGAATGTTCCAGTGCAGAGCTCTGCTCTAACCCATATGAAGGTTATTTTGGCTAGGGAGGGGCTCTGTCTGCAGGCAGGGATTAAAAGTCGCCCCCCCTGCTCTTCCCAGCACTTACTTTCGCCACATGGCCACAAACTTGTGGACGGACACAAAGCCTGTTCTGTCCCCCCCGGCTGAGAGAAACAAAGGCAACTTCCAGTAGAGGGGGCACTCGCAGGCCTGTGGAGACAATAAGTGCTTCAGCATAGGGCCAGAACACCTTTCCCAGGTGATCATAAAGCTGCACACCTCACCCAAATACATATAAACTGTATGTAATAATATACAGGGCTGCAGGTCCAGCATGTTTATTACTGACAAAGCAGTAAAATTACTAAACTCAATGTGTTGGTCCTACGTTAAAACACTTACATTGAAAAACACATTATTCTTAATTGAAATCCTATAAAAAAAAATACCTCATCTAAACCTGAAAATATTTTTGCACATTTGCCATGAAGTTCACTGCTGAGATGTCATTGTTAAACAGACACGCGGTAACTAAATGCACAGCAGAGGAACAACGGAGTGGATTGGACCAGATGAAGGCAGCAATCTGGGCCAGAGCAGCGATTGTCTGCTTCCGTCAGATAACTGTGACTCTTCCAGATCCTGCTGCCTGTTAGCGGAGCCCTGTGCCTCAAGCGTGAACACAAACCATGGATTTACAGCTGAGTTTGAGTACGAAACTGAAACCCAGAGCATTTTCTTCATTTTTTTTTTTAATCACATGGGAGAAAGGTCTGGATATTGAGGGCCCAGGTGGATTATGAAGAGCAGCTCAATATTAGGCAACATTTACTTTACTGCCGGCATGAATAAACAGAGCGGAGCAGCCACTGTGCCCATAGACACTAATAATGCTGATTTTCACACATAGACCTCCCTGCAAAAACCCACCATTTCCCCTCAAGTACTGATAGTATTTTTATGGGATGGAAGAGGGGAAAAAATCTTCAGGCTAATAAACAGTAGTAAGCAGCAGTTAATTACCCCAATGAAAACGATTTTCTGGGTGGCTGGGGGCCACAGGCTGCAAATCACACTTACTTTGGCAACCATCCCCATGTCTTCAATACTCGCTCTTTCATTGGGGAATTGTGAAAATATTTTCTCTATCCTGGAAATGAGCGCGTCGATGTTGAGGTTGGCGATGGGCCGGCCCCGGGGGAAGTAGAACCTTGGAATGCTTTCGCTCAGTACCGGCGTAACGGGCTCCGCTTTCTTCACCTGAGTCTGCTAGAAGAGACACAAATAAACATTTTTAGCCGCGGCTCATCCAGTTCACAGCAGTCAGCCCAATTTTCAAGAAAGTTCAAGGCACTATACAAATTCGATCTCTGTGAACCGTCACTGGAAAAAATGATGTTCAATTAAAAGGTGTGATGTGACATGTGGCTCAATCGAACTTAACAGTTAGAGGCATTTTGGCAGCTGAGCCAACAGTAATGACTGACGTCTCATAACACGCTGTCACGCATCAAGGTACTCCAAGCCAGACAACTTGATTTAATTAGGCTCATTATCTTCATCACCCAATTCACCATGTCTGAAGACAGATTTTATTAGAATGAAGGTGAAAACAAGACAATACCAGGTGGTGTGTACTTAAAACCGAAGACTGAATACAAACAAAATTTTGGCTCAAAAACTTAAAGTCCTGGCCAGTAAAATTCAGTGTACAGATCACTGACCATTCAGCTGCTGGATAAGAAAAAGAAAGGCCCGTCTTCGACAGATGGTAACGAAAGCTTAGCGTACATCCAACACCACAAAACAGCCATGCAGATACTGTCAAAGCTAACCAACTCCAAAGCTAACCAACTCCAAAGCTAACCAACTCCAAAGCTAACCAACTCCAAAGCTAACCAACTCCAAAGCTAACCAACTCCAACAGGAAATTACTGCTGAAGCATGTAAAGTGATGCCATCTGTGTCTTAACATATTTACCAATAGATATTTATAGTTAAAAATTACATCAGTACAATTTTACAAAGAACTGCATGGTGATGAATTTCCAGGACAGGAAGAGCCCAACTCGACATTGATAGCATAGATAAGCCTTTAGTGATGCCATGGAAATGGTAAACAAATGAGCAGAGCTGGCTTCCTCAGAATCTACATTTGAGTGACCCGGTCTGAATAAAGACATTACGCACTGTCCAAACCACGAGAGCCTGCTGTAAAAAGCAGCCCCAGCCCCGCCATGCAGGATTAAGCGCCAAGGCTTTGCTCGGCAGAAACTCAGGGAAAAGCTGCTCCCACCCACCCAGCGAATGGGGTGGCACACAGAGACAAAGCCGTGTGACCCCGTCACACCGGACAGCAGATGCAGGGGCTGCGGGACGCGTCCGCGCTCCAAGGTTTAGTGCGCTCATGGTTAGTCTGCTTTCATTCATGAATGAACCACCCATCCACGTGAAAGGCTAAGCTACTGAACACAAAGTACAGCTGCACCCTCACAGAAAGGCCAATTAAAAATCCAGCAGATAAAAGTGAAAGGAGAATGACATCATTTCAGTGTATAAAAATTACTCCACATGGATAAAATTAAGACATAAATCCTGACGCAGTTAAACAGAATTACAGGCTGTTTAATCCACTCACTCTTCTAGTGTTTGGACATTAATATTCGGAGCACTGAGGGAGCAAATGGTTACGAATACAGACAAGCTGCAGGCTGGAAGATGAAGGCCTAGAAGAAGACCTACTTCACGTTTGACAAAGATTGTTGATCTACCTCAGATTAAGTGAAAGACATCAACTGTGCAACTCATCAGAACAGAGCAACCGCAAAGGCAAACTTCAGCTCTGTATAGTTATTAAAATTAGTTGAAAACAGCCTCAAAAATCCAGAGGATTGTGGCCTGCAAACCCTAGGAAGCCATCAGCTAGCATCAGCTAACGGGCTGAACAGAAACAGCCCATCTGTTCATGCCCTAAAAGCCACTACACCCAGCATGCATCTACCAATCTTTCGTGTCTAAATATGGTGGACAAACTGCCTTTCATCTGGATATTTGCAATCTTATGTCAACAGTCCTAGTCTGCAGAGTGAAGTTCTTTTTGGTTGTTTGTTCCTCTGCTGACTGTTTGACATGCTGGAAGGGTCCTGCTTAGTGTAAGAGGTGACAAGATAAATGCTCCTAATCTTCCCTTCTTCGGCAGTGTCAGCCATGGCTATAAAAGGCAACAGATCTGGGTCTGCTACAGGCTTCCAGTGTGTCTGCACACTCTGTGAAGCGGGCGGTGGTCCCTCATCGCAGCTGCTTAATCTCCATGACATCCTGCTATAGCAGAGGAACAACATGTAGGACGCCACAGTGGCCGAGGCCGGCTGCTTCCAGAGCACAGGGACGCAACATACAACATCGATCCCCCAGACAGATGTAAGGAGGCACACAAACACCACCGCCGTTTGGAGACAACCTGCCTCTCCTTGCTGGAACGCTTTCAGCCTCTTCTTGAAGCGTGAGGGAAGGACGAAATCACAGCCCCGGGCCAGCAGGGCGAGCTCCTTGCGCAGGTCCGGGTCCTGCCGCAACGAGAGGTCCTTCACCCTCATGGTGTCAAGCGGGGATGGGGCCGTCCTTGGGCCGGCCGCTTCCCGCAATACCGTGGCAGATTGCCTCCAGCCCTTGCCCTCGGCTCCCAAGTTCCCGATCGACGCGGCAGTCGTTTTGTAGCGAGCGTTTTGCAGTAAGCTGCGCCTTTCAGCTTGGCGAGTTGGCCCAGCCTCAGCCAGACAGTAGCAGAAGCTCTAATCTCAAGAGTGACTGCAGACAGGGAGAGTACGAGTGTGTGTGTTTGTGTGTCCCTGTGTGTGTGGGTGGGTGGGGCTGCCTGAAGGAACCGCCCCTTTCAGTCCACATTCCAGTGTCACATACAAGGTTATGTAAAGAAACAAACCTGTTGTTTTGAAGCCCTGTGGCAGAAGGCAGTAGGTCCAGTTACTGCTTGCCAGGATCCCAATCCATATCAGCCTCTTACAACAGCCCGACCCCCCAAGACCTTAACTTGTCCTGCCTAAATAAAGCGGCTAGTTTCAGCGGTCACAGCAGCGTAATGAAAAGAACCACACTGTGGAGAAACTTGTGTGCTGTTAGGATGACTTTCTCAGGAACCAGTGCCAGGGAAAGGACAGCTAGGAGTTCCAGCAGACTCTAAGGATGAAGAGTATCTTCTAAACTTCAGTAAACCAAAGTTTAACTCCCTGCTAGCAGAATTATTACAGTACATGGGAATGTACTGGGAATACGGACAGAATCAGCACTTCCCTTCCATTTATGCGACTTCCCACCATGCCATAAGTAGTTGTGGTTAATCATAGTTGGTCAGGGCCAAGGGGGGATGAGCTGGATTCAAAGAAAGATATGTTAACCAGTCAGACTGCGAACAGACTCTACGTTCTATTTGGGTAACTCAAGAAACAAGACCTTCAGAAACAAGTTTATCTTTAGTCCTTGCAAACATCCACTCTGGGGCTGACGGCAATTACATCAATTCGCTGTAAACACACTGATCCAAAGCACAAAACACGTATGCGTTTGTGCGCGTGTGCATCTCCGTACGTGGGTGTACGGAGCGGAGGATGACTGAGCGAGAATGAAAGAGTAAAGCAGACGTAGCACTGGCAAGGATGCTGAACTACAGCCCCCCCACTCCAATTTAAATGCTCTGTATTTTTAGACTACAGATCAGAGTTCACGTTCTCTCAAAAACAGAACGCTGCATTGTTCCACGAGCAGATCACTCTTGTCTAGAGGCAGTTAGTATCCTACATTTCTGTCACCTGGCTGTGCAAAACAATATTACTAATAGGATGGAGGCTGAGACAAAACCCCAAAGTAGCCATTGCTGTTCTCAGGCTCTCTCTCCTAGTGCTGGCATTGAAACACTTTGCTTCTAACCTCCTCACCGTTACCATCCATGTGCCTGAACAAATCCCTGCTTCTTCCCCCCACCCTCAATGTCATACGGTGCTATGCAAAGTCTCATATAAATAAAGGAACGCCAAAGACTAAGATTAAGACTGACTTTTTTGATCATGGGGATAATTCTAGAAGTATCAGCGCAACTTGATATGAACTGAATGAAATGCGCTAAAAGCAGACAGTTGTCGAAAAACTCCCCTCGACAGATTCTGTTAACAAAACACAACCAGTGTGGGAGATGAAGGAGGACAGCTTCAGCAGGAAGCTCTCTGGTGCCCACAGGTGTAGACACACCTGAGCAGATGGTTTACTTAACAAGCAAGATTCTACAACCCACAGAAGCTTCATGAAAACTGCACAGCACACAAGATAATGCATTAAATTATGAAAGATTCTTTTAAGAACTGTGAGAAAGTGAATCAAATATTCTCAAATTCCAATGGCAACTGGTATGGGTATATATTTTATAATACACACCCACACACAAAGGAGAAGTTCAGATTGGTTTTGCCCCCTTCCGGATGTAAAACACCTTGACAGGAAATTACACTACTACCTTGTTGGGTATTTGACAGTAACTACAACTAAATTCAACAAACTATTCTTAAATATCACCCATACTGCACAAAAAGCAGAGATACACAGATGGGGCTGATATTATTGATTAGCGATAACCCATAGTCAGCTAACCTCTGAGGTCCACAAACCAGCAGTGAAAATGATGTTGATGATCTTACTTCATAAAATCCTGTAAATGTATGCAGTGAGACACCAGCAAAGTAGCAACGACTTTGGAAACTGCAGCAATGTTCCAAGTGGTTAATGAGTAGAGGTGTGCAAAAATATCATTTTTTTCAATTAATCTGACCAAGACCGACACATTCAACCAATACACTACAGCTAAAAGTTAATTATCTGATCTCAAAATTTTTATGCTCCAAAATTATGAGAGCAGTCTGTTCAAAACGGAAACTATGGGGTTTACCTTGGCCTCAGAAGGGCTCTCATAACATCATACATCTAAAGCCAACTCTGTTAGTTCTACACTGCTAGATAACTACGCACTTTGACAGCAAAATGAAAACCATCCCAATACATCCCTTCCTGCCATGAAAATAACCAAGATTCCTCAGTTAGACTGAGCATTAATCAAAAAAAATGTTTGTTTTATATTTATACATTTAAAATCTACATTTCATTGGGATTCCTGCATAAGGCTGAACATTTGTGATTGGTCTCAACATCTGTGTAGGTGCATGAAGCTCATTTCAAACCTCCAAGTTTGCCAAGACTATGCAAAAAATGTAAGACACATTAGAAAGGACTCCTTTTATAAGTGATTATAAAAGCCACATGTCTTCTGTATAAAAGCTTGAGCAAGCTACTCTGCGAAGAGCAGACACACTCTTTGCTTAATGATGCAAAATCCTGTTACATTAATGAAAAACCATATCCAAAATGTAAGAGCTGCATATTCGCAATACTGCATAGTTACATTTGGTTACTGAAATGAAATTATATGTTACACTGTAACAACAATAATAAATAAAGTGCAAAACTGCCCATCTCCGGGCTCATTTTGTGGGTTCCTGACCCTGGACGACACGGCCAGCCGGAGAAGACTGCTTGAATGATCGCTGGGGTGAGCGAGGTGCACATGCTATAGCTGTCATACACTCATCTTCCCAAAGCCAGCTTCCCAAGCTAAGGTTACCTGTCGTCCCGTTGCCATGGCAACATCCTACCCTCCACATTCCAGTGGTACAATTGTTCTTCCAAATTGTTTTTTCATGTTTTCCTTCAGTTTGCCCGGCACTGATTTTTCGACATACAAATTTCACCCATTTCACAAAATATATATTAACTCAGAAAAATCCCCCCCCCCCAAAAAAAAAATCTAATGTGAAGAAATGAATCAAATTAAAACCTTTTACAACTGAAAACCACATTAACATACTAAGACAGAAACTCAAACTATGATATCTTGCCATAGCCCGTAGAGACAGTCATACCAGACTTTTAGTCATCCAAAAAAAGAAAAACACACCCTGTTCTAAGCAGCAGTGATTTCAGCTGTGTCTATGCTGACGGATGATAAATGAACTCGGTAGAAGTCTTATCAGGAAGAGATGGATCACGTTTCTGGTCATCATCCATTCCTTTAACCGCCGATTGAAAATCTGACATCGAAGCACACACGGCACATAAACTTTTGACATAACATGGCATCCGGCAATCTCACTGCTGTGCAGCTGATCCCTTCACTGGGGAGGAGGTCTATCTTTATCTGAGCCTTGTGTCAAAGCTGGACCAGCTGTCCCTAACATGACGTTAGTTACATTTTTCACTAATCCTTTGCAGAATGCATTTGTATTGTGGAATTTCTGCGGCTCCCTTAAAATAGTCGCTTCAGTACCGCTTAACTGCGCAGTGATGCCGCGGGGACAACAGTTGTGACACTTTTGCAAAATACCAAATGCACTGCAGCCGCTCCATGGGCTGAACAGCACAGAGGATCACTGAACACTGGGAGAAAGAGTCTGACACAAAGGGCTAAGGATTCTGACAATTCTCACCTGTCTAACCCTTTCCCAAAAAGTCACTTTAGACAGAACTCACACACAGAATTTGAGAGAACTTGACACCAACTTGTGGACTTATAATCTATCTAAAAAAAACACTAAAACAAAGTTTCTGCAGGGCTCAAAACAGCCTTAGATTTGTTACCAATCATGTTTATTGAGCAGAACAGAAAAACAAACTCTGTTTGATCCACTGTAAATGGATGTTAATAGCATGAGTAAAACCCATTGTGCCAGGGACAGGAATGGTCAGAAAAACATATATGGAGGGGAAAAAAAACCACACAGTGTGACACCATTTGAACGGCACTGCAGAATTTAAACAGCCACAGCACTGCAAGCCAGCTCTGGCAAAATGCTGTGCTCCAGCACTGTGGAGCAGCGTGCAGCTTACGAGAAGGCTTCATGGACAGCGAGCTACAGGAAACCTCAAGGGAAAGACCCAGACCAGGGGGCCAGAGAGGGGGGTCCTGCATTTGGTCACACCAGCCCCCCTGAGTCTCTGTCATGTCAGCGGGTGGGAGCCCTGAAACACGTGTGTGGGGACAGCTGCCCAGATTGCTCACTGTCATCACCCCCCCACCCCCGCCCCCACCATAGAAGTCTACCAATGTCTCCCTCATTTACACGCCTGTAGCATAAAGGCAGAGAACTGTTTACAGCTGCTCTTCGCTATAAAGGTCTAAGTGGGAAAGGGGGGGGGGAAAAAAATCATTACTTTTTTCAGAAATTTTAGCTTATTTTAACGCTAGTGAGTGGGATCTATTACAGGTCAGCATTTTAAATGAAGCTTACAAAATAAATCCTCCCTTAAAAAATGGAACTTGTGACAATACTCTGTGTTTAAAAGTCAAAAATACTTCTCAACAGCTGTGTTTACCAGCCTTCAACCAAAATATTATGATTACACAAAGCAGCATGCAGATATTGGTGAAAATTTACAAAATTAAAGATATCAATCATAATGTTCTGTTTTAAATGCTTATTTTTTTAAAAAGTCAATCATTCACCCCTAAATTGTGAAAATAAATCTTATATATTGTATATAGGGTATATTTCAGATTTCCAAAAACATTCAATTAAAAAAAAATTGACAGAGCAAATATTTGTATAAATCATTACAATTAAAGCATTTTGTTATGACAGTTGTGGCCCAAGATAAATGTATTTTATCCACAATATAATCCAATTTAGAACAATGCTGCGCCAGCAGATGTTAAGACCATCACTCATATCAACGGTACTGAAAATATCTGGTCACTCCACAGAACAATCACCACTGTTCTCAAAAACACATGCAGACAAACACACAGACAGACACAGATACACCACACACACAATAACCAGGTTATATAATTATGGCTGTAAGCACCACAAAGCCGACATATGGACAAGAGCCCAGGAAAAACCACCCAACTTTGTAGGACACAATCGGAGGACCTCAGCATCCTCTTGTGGCAATAAAGGGGAGATGAGAGTAGAGTAGTGATACAGGCCAAAGAGCCATCATAAAAACAGATCTTTCAGCATCAGTTAAAGGCTGCTGCAGTTATTCAATGAACATTTGATAAACATATGGTAACAGCAAAGGTAAAATATCCTTTCCAGCTTAAATTATACTGAACCCCTTTCACATTGCTCTGTTGTCTCCAGGTTTAGGTTCAATAAGACCTTAATTCATAAATTCAGCAATCCAAATGCTAACTATCATTCCATTTGTCTAGCATTTATAAAAAAAAAAAAATAAAAAAAAAGAGTGTAAACAATTTGAATTGTTAGAAAAAAAAATGGTGGACTATCTACCAAAAAGATACCAGTCACCTGAGACAGAATCTGACATTAGTCACACCAGGACAGAGATACTTGCAGTGCCAGAACTTCTTGCATTTAACACACTGCATGATGCCTGCCAGGCCTATATACTTAGCAATCAAGCAGCATGGGATGAAAAATGCTGGATGAATCATTCTAAATTTATTGTTCTTTGCAATAACTGTTTTTTCCTGCACAAAATAACTCATTTTAAAAAAATACCGGCCCTGTGGTAGTGGGGACTTACCTTCTTGGTGCTGACAGAACGGCGAGACAGCCTGCCATTGAGCCCTGTGCGACTGTTCCCAGTGTTCCCAGTAGGAAGTGTGGTCGAAGGTGGGCTGGATGGGGCATTCAAAGGTGCTGATGATCTGTCTGTCAGGCTCTTCTTGCTGGTGGCATTGTTGTTGCCGGAAGGAACTGAACCGCTGCTTTCTGTCACGGTTTTGGCACCCGTGTCGACCCATTCTTCATTTTTGATCTTTTGGAGATATTCCTTCAGCATCCCCTGAGTGGTGGCCTCACTCAGCCAGTTCAGAAAAAGTTCATCCACTTTCATTTTCAGCACTGGCTCGAGAACGTGTGCGGTCGGCATCGTTACCTTTATGCTTAGCAAACCAACTGGAGAAAAACTTCAAACACCGCAAATAAAGTCACTGTTCGTGCGACATTAACATTCACATTTCCATTCCAATTTCTAACTATTCACTACGTTAACAGAAATAGGAGATACCAGCTCAATTTAGTAGTCTACGTACAAATAGGAAACGCATAGGAAATAGATAACACCTCGATTTACTTGTTAGACACAATATTCACAATATAATACTAAAAAGTTTTATAGCGACTACAAAAAGCTCATGTTAACAAGGTTTCGAGCGCCACGTTTCAGCGTAAATACATTATCTGAACAGCTACTGGTCTATTTTTTATTAATAGCGTTTGTTTAAACCATGTTTAGCTAACTCGGCCAGCGATTAACAGACAAACATTTCAAAGTTAAACGCAATTCAGCGGCAGGTGGCCCAAAGATACTTTACAGTACTGAAAAGGTTAGGCAATAAATATTACAAGTCTGCCAGCAAACAATTTAAAAATTTTAAACAGCCAAAAATTTGGCCTAGCATTAATCACCCAAACAATGAAGTTCGCGCATTACAGAAAGCGACTATATTATGTGCGAAAGGCGTTTCCAGAATTACTTACAGCTACAAAAAGTCAGTTAATAAGGTAAAATATAAAATGACAGTAATTGTACCTTTTGTCCGCTATTAGTAAAACATTTCACTTTCATATCAAGGCGGTTCACTTCGAAACAAACTCTCGCTTTCCCAGGTAACCGGGAAGCTGAATTCTCGCGAGAACATCAGTCCCTTTTAAAAACTCCACGCCACTATTTACGCGCTGACTGCTGCAGGCGTCGAGCTGCAATGTTGCGGGATGCCAAGTTTTTGGTGTCAAGATATAAAACGAATTCACACAACGGCAAACCCCACCCCCAAAATGGTTAACATTTTATTGTTCTTAAATCACATTCTGTATAATTTAAATAACCATTTCTTTATGTGGAATTCAACATATTTTACACATGTAACTGATAGTATTTTGTAAAACTAAAACAATACCAAAACAGGGCAACAGGTAGCTCAGAGATGAAAGACGTACAGAGAGTGAGCAGTAACAAGAAAGGGCGCCACAGAACAAGGTAGCTACTTAACTTACCCGGAGGCGTGTGTGTGTGTGTGTGTGTGTGGGGGGGGGGGGGCTTTATGGCCAACTGATCAGCAGTTCGATCTAATTAGGATGCACTATTTCTTTCTATGTTTTTAGGTAGTTCTACTAGTACAAATGTGCACAAATTTAGATTTTCACAAACCCACCCAATACCAAGTAAAATCGTATGGATTCAATTCGTAATTTTTAGCTAAGGGGTAGGCTACATTTTCCAGGAAGGTTCCAAATTAGACAAATGGAGAAAACGGTATTTTGGATTAAGGTAACACATTAAAAGAAATTCAAGTATTTGTCAAATAGATAAGAAAACACAATTTATAATTGAAAGACATATAATTAGGCGACGAGAATTTGAACAGCATATAACTGCAGACACAAAAGCATAGGGCTACATTTTTGCAAAATGATAATACATATTTGAACAAGCCGTTATATTTCCATCTGTACGACCTGAAAAATACCACCGTTAAAAAATAAAAAAAAAATTGCGCGCCCTGTAGTTCTACGCTTTGAAGGCATCAACAATACATATTTCTCAAACCATAGCTCATGTGGTTTAATACGGTGGTTTGAAGCTCATTCCTCATATAGGCAGGTGAAGGAACATGTAATATTTTTCTGAAAGATGCTAGCACGTGCGTTTTGTTCAAAAATAAACCACGAGCGAAAGCAAGAGTATGAACATTTTTTAGGGTGATGGATAAAACGTTTCTTCTAAAAGTAATAACTGAATTTAAAAAAAACACTGAAGAGCTAACGCGTTCGCTGCACATATATCTGCAGGATGAATAAGAATAGCTAAATGCTGCGATACTATAGCTATTTTGCTGCATGCATTTAATAAAGATATATAAATATAAATATTTAGAATTGAAAGGAGGCGACTCGTCATTGCTTAGGCTACCCATGGATCAAAGGTAACTTTAAAATAGTCATATATCTGTCCTGTAACCGTTTGTCTTGGTTAGGATCGATGGGTATAAAAATACACACTACATATCAATTAATTAATAATCTGTTACTAAAACTGTCCTTTTACATTTTCCAAATCTACATTAGAGGCTAATTTGAAATGACAGTTGGCGGTCAGAGATAAACATAGGGGCGTGTGTATGTAGAATGACAACTTTGTCTATTCTAATTCTCACTTCAAAGCATGAAATAAGTCCGATTTGCTTATTGCAAGATTCAGCAAGAGCGTCGAAGCCGAGCACTTCGCCGCCAAGCCGTAGCCGTTATGGTGAAGCTCAGGAAGTTCAGCGGCAAACGTGCTGGGTTGAATTTTCCTTTGCGAAACTCCCCCGTCTGATTTGTTGAGAACCGCACATTACTCTCAGACAGCACGATGTTTAGGTCGATATACTTCGGGAAAATTAGCAAGGAGAAAACCGAGAGGCTGCTAGAGCTTTATGGCAAAGAAGGGAGCTTTTTGACGAGGGACAGCGAGAGCGAGCGCGGCGCCTACTGCCTGTGCGTGCGGTGAGTGCATGGAAGATGTGCAAAGAAAATTAAACACTCTCGACATTAGCTGTACTTTTCATTATCAGTTGTTTTTGATTCTTAATGAAAGATGTTTTATTTAACATTGGAATTGTAAAAAATCTGAATTAGTTTGACCGGTAATAGGATATTGATATAATTTACAATATTTCCAGGTAATATATTTCCATCCTGACAGCAGACACAAAATATATATATGTAAATATACAATGTGTTTTGCTTGATATCGTGCCCTTTTAGGCCTACTTAATCAGGCCTATTTTTCCGTTTGAGGGCACATAATTAAGCTTGAAGTCTAAAAAGATTTTGAATTCATTCTAATCAGCATTTTAAATTCTTTCGTTTTGTAAAGATAAATAGCCGATTGTATATTAATGGAACGACCGACAACTAGTAAGTAGTCAGCTATAAAGTGAAGCTGGGGTCATCCAACAGGCTGCAGCTCATGATCGGTTAATAACGTTCGTCAGAAACATTAAACAATACCATCTCATGTAATGTAGCAAGCCAATCTGCGGAAATGCCTGTCAAAAATATCGTTCATCCTAATAATCAATTGTTTCGTTTACTCCGGAACTGTGCAGTAAATAGAAGGAAAAGAAACCAAATATACGTGTCGTGTTATAATAATTATAACTGTGAAGTTCCAAACTTCATCCACCCGAAATGAAGAGATCAAAAGAAACCCATAAAAGACTGAAAACTGACGCAGTTTTCCCCTTTCTGAGCATTCGCAATGCGGCTGGTTCATTAAAACGCAAAGCGAACTTTATCCAAAAAACGCAAATCGGTATGGCTTGCAACATTGTGTCTCCTAATGGTATATATATTACCGAAATTGCGATCTCGTCTCAAATTTCTAAAATAACAACAATAAAAATATCAAAAGCATAAAAAGAAGAGAAAAAAACCCCGATAAATTATGAGAAAATGAAAGCATTGTAACATTTATAAAGCCAATTTTGGAAATGTAAAATAAAAAAAAATATCTGCGTGTTAATTTATTTCTCAGTACTAAGAACATATAGCATAACTGCATCAATTTTTATATTGACAATGAGCAAGAAGTATTCAGTAGTTCAAGTATTAATTGTGTTTTAAATGTGGAAATCATACAGTTTAATAAAATACTTTTTAGAGTTTACTAAAAAAACAACAAACATAAAAAGTTCTAACTGTTCATAGTAGTGATTTATTGGAATTCAGTGATGTGTGTGTAATGATGACATTTTTACAGTCGTATAATTATGATGATATGTACATTGACTGAAATACATAAGCAAATGAATGAGCTGAATCCTGTTGTTATACAGAAGGACACCTTTCGTTCATACCTACAAGATCTCCCAGTATCATGGAGGCTGGGCAGTTAAGGTAAGCTTTGTCCATTACAGGTATATACAATACAACCAAGAAACTCTGAAAGGCCTCTTTTAAAAATATGGTTATTAGAGCTATTTTGTTCTTAGTGGATTCAGTCTGTTATTTATTTTAACACTGTATTTTGGTGAGATATAGTCAGCATAGGGAATTATTTCTGATTGTATGGTGCTTAAAATGACTGTGGGAAAGTGTGAAGTGGAGACTTGAATCTGAACCACCCAACCGACCACGGAAACATGGTGTGTGTTCCAGTCCCCTCTAAAAGTCTGAATGACATATCACAACTTCCTTTAGTAATATACTCTATAAGTTTGGCTCTGAATGTTTTGGAAGTTTGTTTTTTTATAAAGTAAGCAAAAATAACATTTTACAAAAAAGAAAACTGTGCAAAATTAGAAAAACAGAGCAAACCCCCGCATGATAAAATGCCCCGGCTCCGAGTGCGGCTTTGGGGCATTTTTGTTTGGTCTTCTAGATGTTGTTGATCATTTTCAACCTCCAGACCCTGAGCTGTCTGTGGTTACTTCTGTCACCCATGCGTGCTGTCGGTGTGCGTCCCACAACTCATTAGCTCTGAAGTTTCTAATGTGTGACGGTGGCTTTTAGAGCTTAACGCAGGCATACGCACAGGACACATATTAGTGCTACAAAACCAAGCATCCTTTTAAAGCAATGTACTGGTCCTATATTTGGACATGTCCTATAAGTTAATCTCACCACAGCATGTAGTCTCACACAGTGTCCATTTCTGAAGCCTGCTAGACCCTAGGTATTGTAGAATAATTAACTGCATTCAAAGAAAAGAAAATGTAGTAACATAATGTTTGTGTTTTGAAGGAGCTGTACTTCTGTAGGACTTTGCACTTTAAATCTACTTTCCAAGTGTAACACTTGCTTCACGGTACTCTACAATGTCGGTGATATTGTCCTTACACTTTGAAGGTATTTTTTGTTTATTTTCATTTTTTCCTTTTTCTTTTATGCAAGTTGGCTTCCCTTGCAGGCCTTGTCCTCATTTCAACACAACAACAAGACCTATATGCTCAACTTCCACTCTGATTTTCTCTGCACATGTATCAATGATTCATTATTGCCTGACTGAGGTTTTCTGTTCTGTTTTCTTTATTTGATCCTAACCGTGCTGAAGACGCCTCCGGGAGTGAAGCCGCAGTGTTTCGAGACGCTGAACGACCTTATTGATTGTTACAGAGCGGCCGCCCCCGACAGTATGGCACCTCTACTGCATCCTTTGGAAAAACGACTGGTGAGTGACAATGGAGAGAATCAAGGTAAGAGGTTCAGTTGGGTTGCTTTCCTAAAAATAGACACAGGCCTAAAATGTCCCAGATCACATTACACAGAAGAGAGTGAGGGATGGCCTTTAGGTCAACATGCAAAAATACAAGCGCATGGACTGTATAATAAATGTCACTATGCCTGAGTTTGATTTGTTTTCCAACCAAAATATTACAGTTCTGTCCAAATCAGGCTAAATTTTAGATGTGCAAGTGTCAGCTTTATTGTCTTGTATTTCAGGAAGTTCACATCCAGGATGTTGAACTACACACACTGTTCAGTGGGATTTACTCAAAGAGAAATGCAGTTTTTAAACACACTCTTCTGGGAACAGTAGCATCAGTGTACCTTGGGGCTTTTGTCATCTTGCTTGTGTTCTGTGTTTGGATCCAGACAGTAAGCTTTGGAAAAAGAGGCCAATGCCAAGAGACACCTCAGCAAACAATAAAATACAATCTGGATAATTTTACTGGACTGGGGACCTTTTAAACAGAAAGAACTGAACTGAAATTTAAAATACTGTATATAAAACCAATTGAAAAAGGTTTTCTTTGCTTACTGTTAATATAGCAGTACATCAAAATGAAGAAAATTATAAGTTCACATGAATTTCCTGTGTGGCTACTGGTGAACTAATTGTCTTAGTCAAAAGTGTTAAGAATACTAATGTCCACAAGCTGCACAAGTTAAGTATATCAACCAGCCAACTCAGCAGCCGTGTCATGTGACTATTTAAAGCGACTTCGTCCTTTAGGTCGGGTCTGGAGTTCTGCTTGGTGCTTCATGAAATCCACTACCATCCGACAATGGTGTGTCTACTTAAAAGGACTGAATGTAAAACTGGAATGATTGTAATATTAAAACTTCCATTAGTTTATTCCTCACTTTTACAAAACAAGGGACCACGCAGATTCGTTCACGGTTAGTGTGCCCCAAAAGAGCCACAGAGTGCGTGCTAGGGGGGATTGTGAGGGAGCGTTCTGTGGCAACGTGGCCAGAAGGCACAGGGAGCGAGTGGCGGGACACTGGGGGGGCTGACCGGGCGCTACACGGCATTAGCGAGCCGGAGGTTTGCCTGTGCAGAGCAAAGACCCCACAGCTGTTTGATCGCCCCGATGATTCCCCAACTATTTTTGTGCAGTTTTGTTCAGTGTCGCACCGATCAAAAGCATGAATAATCGCACAGCAGAAACGGTACAACTCAACTTTGGGCCTAAACGTACGAAATTGTACAAATGAAATCAGTCATCCCCTTTTCACGGGTTGAACTCTTTGAAGCAGAGTTGCAGTTTATTTAATAGTAATATTGATATCAGAGACAGCTGTACTGTACCGTATCTGATCAGAATACAAAAGAAATGAAAAACGACCAACATCAAGCGTTTCTCCATCCTCCTACTAATGTCACACTTTCCATAAAAATAACATTCACATTTAAATTACACTCCAGTCCATTCAGCCCAGTGCTGCTTTCACAAAATGTCTGGCTACCCATAGTTTGATTTGCTGATTATTCTAGATTTCTAGGTGTCATATGCTTTTAAATCAAGCCATTTTCCCTGTTGGTAGCATTTAGAAGAAATGCAATGCAGACGTCTCCTTATTCACACCAGGTGGCTTGGAAACACTAAGTTGTGATGTTATAAAAATGAAAGACATCCTTGTATTTTTTTTGGCTAGAAACAGAAATAGCCAATTAGGACACTAAAAGGAAACCATGCTACACAAGTTAAGGATGTATGTCATATCTGTGGAAATCTTTGTTATTCTCTTCAATCTTTTTAGGGCATCTTTCAAAAGTCATCCAATCTTACGATACTGAGGCTTGTTGCTAGGGTGCTGTTTGCTTTGTCTTTCCTCTGAAGTTTCCTCCTTATTCGTGTAAGAACAGCACACTAGCATCTTCAACAGAGCTGCGACGTGAGGTGAACAGAACAGCGCTTTTCATCGCCGGATTTATGACCAGACTCAAAGCCACACAATTCTCCCTGTACACCTTTCATAATTTCGTCATAAATGTGCTTCTTCTAACTGCACTTTCGGAAGACAAGAGAGTGCCTTTGCTTTCGAGATACACACAACACGGGCTTACTCACTCTGGTAGCGCTCAGAAGTCTGCACTTTCCAACTGAGATTACCTAGTTTTCCGTTTTTTTGATGAGATGAGTGCATTTGCTTTTTTCTTAAAGTCTTTTGAACTTTATTTATAGACTCATAAATAAACAGGTCACTGTACTGTGCAGAGGATCTCAGCTCCTTTGTGACAGCAGCGGTCCGGCACAGACGGTACACCTTCCTCGTGTCGGGGGTTAATCTCCCCTCCTTGTCACAAGGCCTTACACTGTACCCAATGTGTCTGCGGCTACTTGCCATGGAAGCAATCATGCAGTTATAACCAAACACCCTTACAGGAGACCCAAATCAGCCACTATTTATTTCTTGGTCGGGAAACTCAAAACAGTCATACAAAAAAAAAAAAAAGATTATTTCAAAGCATCATCCATACTAAATATCGAGTGAAGTGGGAAAACATGAGTGATCATTAATGAGTCGGTGTTCTTCTGTTTTGACAGAGACGGTGTACCTGGAGATGTGATACCCTGTCCCCAGGGGGCGCTGTGTGTGTGTGAGGTACTGCCCCTGCATGGCTGTGTGCTGGGAAACGGCCCAGCCGACCCCTTGAAAAAGGAGCAAGACCATGAGTGCCTCCACACAAGCACAGCCAGCAGCATTTCTACCCAAAGAGCCACACCTCAGCAGCAATTATACTGCTAAAAAATCTTTGATAATGCGGTTATTGAAGACAGAATCAATGCAGCTGTTGTATGCTTATGTCACAGCTGAGAAATGCGAGCCTCAGTCCGCCCGTGCCTGCTGCATGACTGCTTAATGCGGCTCTACTCTGGAACCCGAGGCAAACAACCGAGTGGTATGGAAGAGAGCTGATTTAGGGTCAAGGGATCACATGTCAAGGAGGCTGATTGGAGATACTCACCGTATTGTTTTTTGGTTAATTACAGTACTTTTGAATGAGCAATTTACTCTTATCGATTTATTAAAGGAAGGCCCAACATTCCATCAGTAATAATCGGAGGAAATGGCTCATTGATGCTGTTTATAGGATATTTGATAGTATTTAACTGCTTTTAGTGGCTTTCAAGATAAAGGGGATGGCTATTACCTCAGATTTTCTTAATTATTTCATGAATTTTAAAGACTTGCTTTTAAGTAGCTTGACCTAAAAATTGAACACAGTCTCTTTTCAAAAATGTTGTTTTATCTGTTGCTTTACTTCATGGTCTTAATGGCTCGAGTTTGCAAACTACAGCATTGCTGTTTTCTTATAATGCTACAAATGTTCGCCCCAGCGACTTTCCCTTTGATGTGTGGCATGGAGGTAGCTCTGTTGTCATCACTGGATTGTAATTTGGGCCCAGTGTTGTATTTTGTTGTTTGATGCAGGCTGTTCATTTCCCAAGGGATTTATTCCTCTGCCGTTCAAACTTCTTCCTAATTTCAAGGATTTCATCGTGGTTTTTACGTTACGTCAACGTTACACTTTTCTTCTGGAGAACGTTTCTTCACCAACGCCTCCCTCGTGGTATCTGTGTTCATTATCAGCTTGTTGTACTTGCATACCAGCTTGTAACGTCTAGTGAAATAAATAAATGGTTTGCACAGGGAGTTGTAAAAATGCAAAAACATCCTTTGACACGGCAGGGAACATCTATATAAATGTCCCATCTTATGAGAGAGCACATGTCAGTCGGCGGTGGAGGGCGGCGTGATCAGTCTACAGCGAGCGTGATCAGTAGCCCGTTAATGCAGCAGCCATACTTTAAACAGCTTCGCTCGCTCTGTCTCATCAATTCACCCCGACACAAATCCCAGCTCATCTCATTTCCATAATTGACAAGAGGGGAGCTGGGCGACAAAATGCCTGTTTTGGTGGAAGCTCAGCTTCAATGCTCCGTTACGGAAGTATAAATTACTGGTGTGTGATGCTGTAGCTGAGCCTCAGCACAAACACCGGCATTAGAGCCGGCTCCTGTCAAACTGCCATTCAGCAGTAATTTAGCTTTTCCAGTTACCTGTCAGAACTGGAGTCGATACATTACCAATATTTTTCATTTGAATGATAAATTAATCTGCTGTGTGTTTGATGTACAAACTAATAAAGTCATACACCTATTTATCCACTATATCAACAGCACATCTCCAAAACATCATGGACAATATCAAGGGACTGAAGCTGACTAGACTAATCCATGTGTATTAAATTAGCAAGAGCTAGGATCTCGTTTCCTTTTAAATAACTTGTTCCTTTTAAAAATAAGACTATTGGAATATTACTATTCTATATGATTTCTTCTGTATTTGATAATGGGTTCCATAACTTTGCAGTTGTTTTCTGTACCTCTGTATTTAGGCAAAGACAGGACTAGTAATAATTCAATGTGATGTTTAAAACTGACCAGCAAAATCAGCAAATACACGTCACAAAAGTGGTTCATATTTACAGCTCACATTCAGAATTACCTTCAGTGCAGGTATATAACCTTCATATCTACAGCTCACATTCAGAATTACCTTCAGTGCAGGTATATAACCTTCATATCTACAGCTCACATTCAGAATTACCTTCAGTGCAGGTATATAACCTTCATATCTACAGCTCACATTCAGAATTACCTTCAGTGCCAAGGTATATAACTGCTTATTTCTAGGCACAACGTTACCAAAAGATTCCTTTCATTTCTTAAATTTTGAGTATTTCCAAAAGAACTTCAGGCCTGAGTTTAACAAACTACTTAATGATGGTGAACAGATTTGTGTTTATTTTAGCTTGTTCATTAAGAGCAGCGAACTGAGATCTATGAAGCCGGGAAACATCTACGGGCCCTGCCAAGGAATCTGTGTTTCCAGATTTAAAAAAGTGAAAAAAGGCTTGATCAGATTTTAATGTTTTTTGAGGTTTAGCTACAGCCCAAAACCGTGTGTATTGTTTTAGCTTTTTCCACTCACACAAGGCACAGAGCGCGTGCCAGAGTCTCAGGCCTGTCTGTAGGTCCTGGTGATAATGTTCTCCTGGGGACGCACTCGCCAGCAGTCTCGGACATCTGCCAAAGAACACTGGCTCTGCTTTTTGGATGCTGACATCACATGATCATCAGGAGATGGTCTGAGCAATGGAGTCGGCTCTAGAACACCTTGCAATGCTTGGTGTGCTGCCTTAAATCTCAGGACACGCAGGTCTGGCTGTGTCTCAAGCCGTAATGAAAGCAGGCAGTCTTGGCGAACAGGCCCTCCAGTCTACATGCCCAAACAAACCTGTGTAGTTGACAGAGTCTCTTCCTGCCTGTGTAATAACTAATAAGGTCTCTTTCCCCCCACAAAGGCCCCTACCCTCTTTGTACCACTGTTCTCCTTTGGAAATCTCCATTTGTCACAACGCCAGCGCATCGTATGAGAAACCCGGCACTTTATGAGCGCTGAAAAGGACGCACACTTTTCACATCAAGGGGTATCGCTGGAATGGCAGGCCCCTGCTGGAAAACGGATGGGGCGAGTAGCCCAGCAGGACAGGATCAATGGAAGGCAATTACATTAGCGGCCTTGGGAGTGAGGCTGCTCTGCGCGGAGCGGCCCAGCCGGCTGCCCACTGCCGGAAACTGGAGCGAGGAGGACGCATAGAACCTCCTTATAGTCACCTAGCCAGCCTAGTCTGTGGGCTGTTTGCTGAGAAGTGAGCAGAGGTCATCTCCGCGTGTTTCGCTCAACCATACAAATACAGCTTTTCACAGGAGGGAAATAAGACCAACTCAAGTCTGACCCTTTGCTGCCTGAATGGGTTCCGGTCCATGAATTTATGCAGCCAGAATTTTCCTTGAGGAGCTATAGTGCAATTAAGGGCATGACAACGTAAGAACATCAGCACATAAGACGTGTGCTTAAGATACTATTCAGCTCATAGTTATTCTGGTCTGGCTAGCAGGGGATGATTCTGAACACTAGATGGCAGTGTATCCTACGTATCGTCGGCTGGCGAACAGACCCTGGAGTATTTCTGAGCACTTCCTGAACCAGGCAGGGTAAAAGAATTTACTAAGATAATGCTTTGAGGTATCAAGGTTATCAAAACAATGCGACAAAGGAACCGTGTCTGACAAAGTGCTTTGATGGTTATATTAAAAAAGAAAAATTAAATGCATATAGTCAAGAGGTAGTGATGTATACATTATGGATGTGTCAACATGTTTAAAATAAACAAATATAATGGAGTATATTATTTTTTCCCACAGAGTGTATGTAATTCGAAAACAGTCCCATCTGAATCCACTGGGTCTGATGTGTAAATGTGTTGGTTTTTGGCTTGGACCTTGTGATTACACCAGAGACAGCGCTATGTACAGAGTAAGTGATGTTCAGAAGCATTGAGAGGTAATGTTTGGCTTTTCAGTTTTGTTTTTTGGCCTGACACCTGATGAAACACTACTGGGTGTGAGTGCTGTAATGACTGCCGTATGAACACAGGGTATAACAGAGAGGAAGGCGCGTGCCCTGTCCGCGCGGGGCGGGACGTGTGCCCTGTCCGCGCGGGGCGGGACGTGTGCCCTGTCCGTGTGGGGCGGGACAGGTAGCAGGCTCACCCTGCACAGAGCACAGCTCTTTGGGGAAACTCCACTTTATCGCTGGCTTATATTATCATGTCAACACTTGCCCATAAATAGCATTCGATACCTCGAAGACAGATGTTAGTAGGGGGTCAATAAAACAATGCGGAGGAGGACCAAACAGTCGTTTCTCAGTTTTTCCTCAAATTGATTTATTGATACTTTTGACTTTTAATGCAGGTTAATTATATATATATAAAAGAGATGTGCACACTGTGTACATCTGAAATCTTTAACTAGCCTTTAGCCTCAGTACACATCACTCTGTACTCAACAACAAACTATGAAATTAGCAATTAAATGAGCAAATGAATATAGAGAGAATGAGATTAATGCTGTTCCCCTTAATAATCACATGTGCTTCTGGGACCATGTTTGGCTGAAGTATGTGCTACACATGTTTAATGCTATATGTTTAATGCTATATGTGAAACTCAGAGGCTATTTAGCTTCACATAAGGGTAAATCTTGCAAAGAAAGCAAAACAGAAAATGTGTTAAATTTTATTTTAAGGTTTAGTGTTAATCCCAAAGTTTAAGACTAAATGAAGGATTAGACAGGATGCTGTCCAATGATTTAATTTCACATCTTGCTTGGTTTTGAGTGCTATTCCTGTGGCAGAAAGCAAGGGACAGAGACTCTTATTTGGAATGTCAGTCCTGCTGTGACATTCTACAGTTGCCACTGGCAAACACAAAACTGACAACTGTAATTTATGAGGGTGGGGGCATTAGCTGTGAAGTAACTGATCTGGTAAACAAAATATGTGGGTGTTCCACAAAAAACGATTAATTATTAAAAGTATTAACAGTGATGGAGTTATCGTATGGTTGAGAAAAACACCCGAGCGCTGACTAGGAATAAGCTATTAGGACATGCCAGAAACCAAACTAGATAAAAATTCATATGAAATGAGTAACAAAGAAGGGTGAAATTTAGTCCATATGGAGATGATCTATGGGTCGTATTGCTGCATGGATACCCCGCGGTCGGTGCCGCCGCATCCGAGGGATGGAGCCGGGCAGGTAGAGCCATGGCGCTGGGTGAGGGCCTTCTGCGCCTCCATATCAGCCAGTCCCCTGGTCTTTTAATTCATGCAAAAAGAAATGAAGCTCTTCTTTGCAATATGCAGATTCCTATGCAAAGCAGTGTTACCTATGGTGCCTGGACCACAGCGTTGTGCTTTGATCTGTGTGCCTGACACTCTCCAAGTATGGAGAAGAAAAGAACTAAAAAAGTGTAAAGAGCCCTAATTGAAGTTAACATAAAAGAAGATACAGGGTGTTAATTGGTCGATGCTAAGAATAATTCAGACCTTGGAGATTACTGTCCCTTACAGCCCCCCCCCCCCCCACAAAGTGTCAAGATTTACATCTTTAATTCAAGATTTCCCTGTAATAATTCCCTCTCCACTACATACAAATCACTTCATTTTAAAGTATAATAAAAACAAGTCTGCTTTTTCTGCTCTATGAATGTGCAGATTTCCAGCCTCCTAAGGACATTTTTCCCAGACCTCATGTTCGGCTGAAGTTTAAGCTGAAATGTGACAAAGATGTACCAGACGCAGCCCTGAAGGTGGAGAGGTGGAGTGAGATTCAGCCCTGTTTCACTGTTCAATTTCTAAAATACAAAAATGGAGGACAAATAGAAAACTTGAAAAGTCTTAATTCAATTCATAAATTCTTACCTCAAAAACATGTCTGCCGTATCTCTGAAACACAACTGAGATGCTTCCGACCACTGAATTGTGAAAGTACAGAATTGTCCATGCTATTTTCCCCGCACAAAACTAAAATTGCTAGATAATAAATAAATAACCACTCAGCTATAAACTGTCTGCACTGGGAAAGAGCATCGTCCACCAAAAGCCGAGAGTGTGTATACCAGCCGCCAGACCCCTCCCACTGCCAGCCGTCGCTTATTCAGTACCCAGACAACGGGGCTTAATAATGGACCCGGAACTGTGCACATTTCCATATGCCACTATCTGTCTGGCCTAAATATAGT